ACTTCGTAACGCTCTTGGTCGGCGTAATAGAGGCTCGCGCCGCTCAACACCACCATACCAACAAAGGTGTAAAGTCCGTCAGCCGTCCTCCCGCTATAAACCTGTCCGCTCCCCGGAACTAACGCTGAAAGCACACCGGCGACCGTCGGAGAACGGCGCGGAAGCGTATCCACGTTTTTTATCGTCCGCGCCAATCTATCACTCACTTTAGCAAAAGGACTCTCCGGGTAGGCTAAATAAACATCGTTCCACGCGCTGCTTGCCTGTGCCCATTCTCCCTTATCCACATGGAGCATTCCAATTGTAAAGTGCACGCGTGGTGCTAAACTACTCTCCTTATGTTCTGAAAGAAACCGTTTGAGTGATGCAAGCCCCTGCTCGCTATCGCCCGACAGAACATGACCCTGAGCAATATTGTTTTTCGCGCGCTCGACAAGAACACTTTTCGGATAGGTATCAATCAGAAGTTGGTAGGCGCGGATCGCGTTCTCTAATTTGCCTGCATTCTGGTAGGATGCGGCAACGCGGAACGCTATGAAATCAATTCGAGGGGCATCGGGATGTAAAAAGAGGAGTCGCTTATACTCGTGAGCGGCGTTGAGATAATCACCCTCTTGGAAAAGTGAATCTGCAAAAGTGGACTCAAAGACTGCAGCTGCAGTGCAGGTAACGGAAGTGCACATAAGAAAATAAGAAGCAGGGCACACCCTACACGCCTATATTGCCCTAAAACGGAGAGAAAAGTTTTCATTTGGTATCAAGTTGCTTTTGCACATGGTCCTTGCTAACTGCCCAAACGCGATCCCCGATATCTGTGAGGTGTGGGGCAAATCGAGAATTTGCGATCTCGTTTTTGAAGCCATCGCCGCCATGTGCGTTGAGAAGGATGAGCGCGAAGGCAATAATAAGTCCGCCGGAAGCGACCCCAAAACCGAGTCCGAGTAGATGGTTCACCCAGCCCAAAACCCCTTTATCGAGAATCCGCTGGATACGCTCAAAAAGCGAGTCAACAAGAATAGAGACGACCAGCACAATGGCAACGATGCTCAGCCACTTCGCCCAACTGGGGTTTGCTACCAACTTTTGGACAACTATCGCAAGTTGCCCCCAAAATTGACAGGCAGTAAAGAACCCGATGCCGATTACGAATATACCCCATACACTTCGGGTGAAACCCGCACGGTAGCAACTTATACCAGCCAATCCAACAAGAATGAGAATACCAATATCGAGTTTCGTCATTTTGACGTTTGAATTTTTTAATTTATGGTCCCTGGGCCGTCCCTCCACTTCGTTTCGGACGGGTTTTCGGTTAGATCGCAGTTGGGTTGGGCATCTGCTCGGTCTCTTGAAGAAAAGATTTTTAAACTATGGGTCCGCTGAACTGTCTCTTCCCTTCGCTTCGGATGTATTTTGGTTAGGACTCAGCTGGGTTGGGTATCTGTTCGGTCTTTTGAAGAAAAGGAATCTTCGTCAAACTGCACCCAAATACCTGTTCAATTGCAATCTCTATCGGAGTGCCGTTGCCTAACTGGTGAAGCAACTTACGAATTTTGGGGAAACCGAACTGCTGGATGAGAAATTCTGCTACTGCAGTGGACTGGATATACGCCAATTTCCGATATTTTGCGGGGAGTTGGTTAAACGGTTTGTTCAATACGGCAAAGGGAAGTAAACGCTCGGTCTGAACCGACTGCTGCAAGTCAAGGCGTTCAGACTGGAACATAGGGCGGGCAATGCTTTGTGCGAGTCCTTCGTCAAGCCATACAGGACAATGCCCGTGTGCTAAATGATGAACCAACAGATGTACCCATTCATGCCGTAGCAGGGCATATAAAATGCTTAGCACTGGCTCACCCGCTGCGCAGTATGCCAGACGGATGCCACCATCGTAGCACCCACTCGCCCATCTTGGCATCGAACGTTGAGACGCAGCACGCCTATTTGTATTTGAAATCGATATAGAAACCGGCGAAGCGGGATAGTACCCTAACATTTCACCCAATTCCGAGTAAGTTCGATAAATCAGTCGACAGATGTTCCAGACTGTCTGGGAATTCATTTCAGAATGACAAGTGAGATCGAAAAATTCCGAATTTACAACTTGCTTAGGGAACTTCGTAGAACTCACTTGTAACTGTTCAAAGAATTGTACGGGAGGTGGTTCGTCAAAGTCATCCAAAGAGATAAGTGTATGATAACACGCTTTCTCATCAAGAATGCGCGCTTTGCGCCTAAGAGCTGTTGGCGAATCAGGACATAATCGAAGAGCAATGTCTAAACACGCCAATGCTGTATCCCACTCTCCAACCATCTCATAGGCTTTCGCGAGGTCGGCATAGATATAGTGATGCCGTGCCGCGCCCAATTTCAAGCCAGCGAGATAGTGTTGGATAGCTTCAACATAGCACGCCTGTCCATAACTGAGCGTTGCTTGTTGAAAATGTGATAATGCCAATGAATTGGTATGCCTAAGGTACACAGCCTTCATAAGGAGCGGTGGTGCATTAAGGGCTTATCCCTCAATGCACAACACAATCCTTCTCCGTGTAAAATTATGACCGTTCAATATCGACGACTTTGAAACTAACTTTGCCACATTTTAGCGTAGAACCGTCTTGAATGCGGGTCGGTGCTTCAACACGTGCGTTATCAAGATAAGTCGTATCAGAACTACCCAAATCCGTGACGTAGACATCGTCATCCTTCAGCTCAAATCGGACGTGTAAACGAGAAAGCGTCCGGATTGCGTTGTAACGCTTCAACATCTCTGCGGATTCAGCTGTTTGTTCAGTATCCCACTCCCGCAGTGCATCCGCGTCGGGTAAAGACGCATCAACCTGCATGATTTCGGTAGTTTCATTGCCCATACCTTGTGGGCTATAACCGGGTTGCAGTTCCAGCGCACCAACAGTATCGGCTTCCACTGCTTCGCCCCGAATTTCCGCCATCACACGGTCACGAGCGCGCTGCTCGGCACCAGGCGGCGGTATAACGTTTTCCCGCTCCTCAAAGCGGTAGTGTGAGAAGTCTATTAATTGTTTCAATGGCTGAAGTTCCGGAAAGTTGTGAATTTCCCTTAGAAGACGTTTCTGCTTACGTGATAACTTCCCATTCTTCAGCCAGCACGTATAAGCTTCCAACATCTCAGCCTTTTTCAAGTCATCTGCCGAGATGCCGTCCCTTCGCCATTTCTTCCAAAAGTGCATGCGTTAATCCTCCAAATTAATATATCCACTGAATGCCTTTTGCAATCAGAATCTTCCGCAATTCCTCCGTGCACCGAAAAATCCAAATTTTCACAGTGCCGTCCTTGCGGTTGAGAATGCGGGCAATCTCTGCAATACTATAACCTTCTAAGTGCCGCAACATCCACGCAATCCGATGATTTGGTTTCGTTACCTGTTCAAGGGCATCTTCCAAAATCTGTTGCGCTTCGGCGGCTTCTAATTCTTGCTCAGGACCCGGGCGCGGGTCTTCGTATTTACTTAAGGGTTGTTCATCCTCATCAGGCGAACCACCGAGAGGGTGTTCCCGAATCCTGTCCCGCTTCCGTATTGCATCGATAATAGTATTTCGAGCCACCGTATTTAACCATGCTTGAAAACTACCCTGTTCTGTGTCCCATTTGCCCAGCTTCTGCCAGACTTTAACGAACACATCCGAGGCGACCTCTTCAGCATCTTGGTAATTTCCAAGCATTCGGTAGGCTTTATTATAAACCCATTTATAATGCTTGTCGAATAATTGCCTAAATGCGGCTTCGTTGCCTGCCTTCGCTTGTGTAGCGAGATAGGTATCTTCGACAGCAGATAAATCATTAGATATTTGGCGCGCCATTCAAATCTGCTCCTTAGCCTATAAGGATCCTGTTTCAGCAGGCTATACAATGTAACGTCAATAAAATCTACTACGTTTCAAAAAACGGAAAGAATGGCACGCCGTGGAGAATTAACGCGCTATCAACGTTCCCTAATAGGCTCACGAGAAAAAGGTTAATTTATTATATAAAATTTTCACAAAATATGTCAAGGAAAAAAACAATTTTTTTCAAAATTTATAGATAATTGCCTGAGGCGCGCCCATAAAAGTGAGGGCAGCCAGCCAAAATTCAGTTTTTAATTCAAATTGGAAAGCCGCGATCGGACGATCATGACTGCAGCGGAAAAACTAAAAATGCGTCTTTATGAGATACTTGCGAGAACAACCCGTTCCTTCCCCGCATAGTCTTCGAGCAGTTCGTACGTGCAGTACGCAGATTCAGCATCAAGAAGCGTTCGAACGGTGTCGGCTTGTGCTGCACCGATTTCAAGGATGAGTTTACCACCCGGTGTGAGGTATTTGGGTGCCTCAGCAATTAATCGACGAATAACGGCAAGACCGTCATCTCCAGCAAAAAGGGCAACCTCAGGTTCATAGTCGCGGACATCCGGACTCAAGGCGGCACGCTCTGTATTTTTGATATAGGGTGGATTGCAGACAATCCAATCAAATCGTGTGTCGCCATTAGTGTTTATTGCTTCTATCGGTTCAAACAGATCTCCAGACAAAAACTCAATTTGCGCTGCGCACGCGTGTGTTTCAGCGTTCTTGCGAGCAACGGCGAGGGCAGACTCAGAGATGTCCGTTGCAACGATCTCCCATTCTGGTTGTTGTACCGCAAGACTCGTAGCAATCACACCGCTCCCTGTACCGAGTTCCAGTAAACGCTGGAAATCTCCGGTTTCTGTCATGAGAATAGTTTCAACGAGCTGTTCTGTCTCCGGGCGCGGAATGAGGACCCGTTCATCTACATAGAAATCCAAGGACATAAACTCTTTGTGATTCGTTAGGTAGCTAACAGGTGTGTGCGCGATTCTCTTTTTGATGAGTTCTCGGAACGGTGTGAGGTGTTCTTGAAAGACAGGCATTTCAAAGTGGAGATAGAGCTGCAGGCGGCTTTTTTCGAGCAAGTGTCCAAGCAATACCTCCGCATCTAATCTCGGATTCGGGATGCCGTTCTGTTGAAAGTATCCGACTGTCCAATCGAGTAGATCCACCACGCGCCACATTTTATCCGGCATAGTTCCGTGTTCCTTAGCTGGAGGCTTAAGCCTCTTTCAACCTCTCCGCCTGATCGGCAGTTGTTAGCCGTTCAATAAACGTTTGTAGGTCTCCATCTAAAACGGAATCAAGTTGATAGGAACTGAATTGGATCCGGTGGTCAGTTACACGAGATTGTGGGAAGTTATAGGTGCGAATTTTCTCGCTTCTGTCGCCACTGCCGACCATAGATCTGCGGGTTTCGGCTCTTTCACTGTTAAGTTCAAATTGTTTTTGTTCTTGGAGGCGTGCCCGGAGAATTTTCATCGCCTTGGAACGATTTTTATGTTGAGATTTTTCGTCTTGGCATGTCACAACCAATCCCGTTGGCAGGTGGGTAATACGAATCGCGGAGTCGGTTGTGTTAACACTTTGTCCGCCAGGACCGGAAGATCGGTAGGTATCAATACGTAATTCGGTTGCCTCATCAATCGCCAAATCAAGTGCTTCTGCTTCAGGGAGAACGGCTACCGTGGCGGCAGATGTATGAATGCGTCCACTTGCCTCGGTTGCCGGAATTCGCTGTACACGATGTATACCACCTTCGAATTTCAGCTGACTGTATGCGTTCTGCCCTGCAATTGAGAAGACAACCTCTTTAAATCCTTTTAAGCCAGTTGCATTTGAACTGAGTAGTTCCAGCTTCCAGTTCTGACGTTCAGCATAGCGGGTGTACATTCGAAACAATTCGGCTGCGAAAAGACTGGCTTCTTCACCACCGGTCCCTGCCCGAATCTCGATGATGACATTTTTTGCATCGTTCGGATCTTTCGGAATGATGAGAACCTTAAGTTCCTCAGTAAGTCTCTCTTTTTCGGCAGTAAGAGCGTCCAACTCTTCCTGCGCTAATCCGAGCATTTCCGCATCCGTTTCCGATTCTATGAGGAGAAGCGTCTCTTCAAGTGCTGATTCTAACTGCTGGTACTCCTGATAAGTGGACACAATTGGCGAGAGTTCCGCGTGAGTTTTAGATAACTCTATTAATCGTTGTTGATTTGAAATTTGCGCTGCGTCTCCAAGTGCACTTTCGACTTCAGCGTATCTGTTTTCAATATCCTTGAGTTTCTCAAACATTTTTGTCACCGCTTGCAAGTCAAAACTTGCGGTTAACTGTTAAAAGCTAAGAGATGCTTGTCTACATTTTGGGACGTAGGGCAGATCTCTGTCCCTGCTTGATTACTGTCCCGTAAGCAGTTAGGCATTTCCCGCGCCCACTATTGTTAAGGCACGGGTACCTCTCCTTGGAACACCGATCGATAGACTTACCTGTGAAACGATATTTCTAATTATCGCCTTCGGTGAGTCCGTAACGTCGGCGGAAACTTTCAACGCGTCCGGCAGTGTCAATAAATCGAGCTTGTTGTCCAGTGTAGAATGGGTGGCATTTTCCACAAATATCTACCCGCATCACTGGTTGGATAGCGAGCGTCTTATGGCTTGCACCACAAACACATGTAATAACGCATTCTACCATTTCCGGATGTATTTCGGTTTTCATAATGCTCTCCTTTGAATTCAAAATTTTGAACCGTCTATTTACGATTCTCTACATTCTTGTAGCCGCGCTTTTGAGACGCGGAAGCGTAGACATGTAGGAATTCACGCTCATCGCTTCGGACGAGCGTTGGTTCTCGCCGACACATTACTGTAAGTCGCATTGTCTACCATGCGTTCGAGAAATTCCGCGTTTGTGTCAGTTTTGCTGAATTGCTCAATGAGCATTTCGAGAGATTCCGCGCTGTCCATCTGGCTTGTGAATTTCCGCAGCACCCAGACTTTGTTAAGAACATCTGGTGCCAATAAGAGTTCCTCACGGCGTGTTTTTGACTTTCCAACATTAATCGGTGGGTAGATGCGGAGATCCAACAAAGCACGCTCCATGTGGATTTCCATGTTGGCAGTGCCTTTGAATTCTTCGTAGATGTGTTCATCTTGTCGGCTTTCCGTATCGACGAGTACAGATGCAATAACCGTTAGACTTCCACCTTCTTCAAATTTCCGAGCTGCGCCGCAGAACTGACGCGGTTTCAAAAATGCCATGGCATCTAAGCCACCGCTCAGCGTTTTTCCGCTGTGTGGCGTCATGACATTATGCGCACGTGCCAGCCGGGTCATGCTGTCTAACAGAACAACGACATCTTTTCCGTACTCCGCCCACCGCTTCGCCTTTTCAATCGCCATCTCTGCGACCTGGATGTGTCGTTCGGGATGTTCATCAAAAGTAGAACTAATGACTTCTCCTTTGACAGAACGAGCAACATCTGTAACTTCCTCGGGACGTTCATCAATGAGTAAAAAGATGAGGATGACTTCTGGATGGTTAGCCTCGATCCCAGCAGCAATATTTTTCAGCAGCGTTGTCTTACCACTGTAAGGAGGGGCGACAATCAAGCTGCGTTGTCCCTTCCCAATCGGTGCTATTAGATCCACCATACGAGTCCCGTACTCTGACTGACTGTGTTCCAGTTTCAATTTTTCGTATGGGTGTATAGGCGTGAGGTTTTTGAAAAGGATTTTCTGCTTGACGGCTTCTGGTGCTTCTCCGTTGACCTTGTCAATTTGTAACATTGCGAAATAGCGCTCTGCTTTGTTTTCCGTCTTCTTTGGGGGGCGAATTACCCCTTCAACGACGTGTCCGGTTTGTAAATCGAATCGCCGGATTTGCGATGAGGACACGTAAATATCCTCGCTGCTCTGCAAATAATTGGAGCGCGATGAACGAAGAAAACCGTAGTGTTGATCCCGGTCATCAAGGATTTCCAAGACCCCACCACCGTAAAATTGGATATCCGCCTCAGATTTAGCCTCTATAATTTCGCTAATCAATTCCTCTTTCCGAGACCCGTTGTATTCAGTCACTCCGAGTGTTTGGGCCAAGTCTTTGAGTTCCGAGAACTCCATTTCTTGGAGCTTGCCAATGTCCAAGCTCTCCATAGTTTCTAATACTCCTCATTTTGCCCGGTTCCAAGGTAATCGTTCCACCATGGCGTTCATCTAACCACCCAGCGAATTCTCTGTCTCCACTCAAATATGCGATATGTTAAAAATGGGTTCGCAATTTGAAAGCAATCGCTAAAATAGGATACAAAGAAGAGGTTAAAATGGAATCGGGCTGATTCTATAGAATAATCTACTGAAGTTGGTTTCTATCACTTTCGGTTCGCGATTGAAAACCATATCTACCGGGTTTCACTACTTTGTCGTTTAATATATCGCGTAACAGGACCGAGGCACGAAAACTGGGTTTTACCACAAAACCGGTTAATCTGGCATGACACTCCAAACAAACGCATGAGAAATTGCCGTTGAGATATGCAACAAAGCAAAATGCAGGGTATACAGGGATATCAATGGAGTAGGTGCAACGTTGCCCGTGGGAGTGTTTCTTGTATGGTTGCTTCGAGATACGTGTTAGAAGGTGGTTTCGACCTAAAGGTGCCGCTTGGTTTTCCATATCAAAACTGGCGTTGCACGCACTACCTTACAACCAGTGACTCGTTTTTCCTCAAAGGACGCTTTTTTCCGGATTTGCACTGTTTCATCAGGGGAAAACTGCGAATTGCACCCTTAAAGCGTGCTTGCGCGTAGGAAGTTAAAAATCTTACTTGTTAATTATACACAATTGACGATAAAAGGTCAAGTTTTTTTGACAAAAAACTGATTATTCTAAAATCATGATGTAAAGCGCGGTCTTTCAACCGCGCAATTCACAACACTTATTCTGCGTCTTCACCTTTCAACTTATTAAGGCTACGACGGACGTTCTGGTTATATTGGTTTTTCGCCAAATAGCCTTCCCAAAGGGCTATAGCGTCGTCATTAAACCCTTGTGAGACATAGTAATCTCCAAGAGCCATCAGCGGAATGTCTGAAAGTGGGCTCTTCTCAATGGCGGCTTTGAATTCAGCAATAGCAGTTTCCGCATCGCCATCTAAAAGCGCCAACTCACCCCGACCGTAAGGGATTAACGCGTGTTCAGGATACTCTGCCGCCAATTCATCTATCATCTTCTGTGCGTCTTCCAATTTCTTCAGGTGATAGGTGGCACGTGCGGCGAGAATAGTCGCATAAACGACCTGATTGCGAAGTTTTTGTTTTTCGACCTCGCTTTCCGATTTACCGAGCAACCGTTTCGCTGTCCGCGCGGCGGCTCTATACTTGGCACGAGATTGCACATAATTCCCGTACTTATAGGTGAGGTCGCCGACGGTTTTAGATCCGATGTACGAATCGCCTTTCTGATCAACGAGATCTTGAAAGATTACAGCGGCTTTCCGATCCTTCAATCGATAGTGGAGGACCTCGGCAAGACTTTGTAGCGCATCCAAATTCTGTGTGTTCGCCGCGACAGATCGCTCAAGAACCTCTCGTTCTTTCTCGGGTTCACCTAATTTTTTGTGTACGAGCGAGAGTAACCAGTAAATCTCGGAATCTTTGCTTCGAGCCATTCCAAGAACAGAATTGTAGGTTTCTAACGCCTTATCATACGATTCAGAAGTGTAGTGATTCCGTCCGGTGTTGATGACGGCTTCAATGACCCCACCATCTCGGAGTGCTGCCTTTTTGAGAACCTCTTTCGCCCGTTTATGCATCCCGACTTTTCGGTAGCAAATTGAGAGTTTGAGGTAGGTATACGGGTCGATTTTCACCTTTTCTGCTTCCGCGCTGGCAATTGCATTGAAGTATAACGCGCCTGCGTCACGGTAACTTTCATCACCGTAGAAGAAGTTGGCAATCATCAGCTCAGCAGCAAAGTAGCTGCCCTGGTCATCGCCTGCGATACCACCCTGTCCGCCGAAATCCCGCATGACCTCTGCTGCGCTAACCCCGAAACCGGAGTCTGCGATTTGCAGACCGACATTTCCCATCGCGCGACTTCTTTCAACACCCCCACGCGGCCGGTCCCGTTCACGAGTCGCCTCTTGTTGCGCCAAAGCTCTACCGTACTGCGTTGCTAATGGGTCATCTGCCTCCGGAATGCTTGCCTTTGAGATCTGTCAGTTCCGCTTTTGCTTTCTCAATCTCTTTTTCAGCACCTTCGACCTTCCCATATCTTTTAACGAGTGTTTGATAAGTGCGTTTCGCTTCCTCTTCGTTTTTGAGGTGCTCTCGTTGGATTCGCCCTTTATTGGCAATAGCCAGCGCGGCGCGTTCACTGCGAGGGTTCCGATTTGCGAAGTTATCGAAAACCTCTACCGCCTGTTCAAAATCGTTTGCCTCTTCAAAACTTTTCGCCAGCATCAGTTGTGCGTTGTGGCTCAATTCGAGTTGTGGGAAGTTATTAACAACCGCGTCAAATTGGGTTTGGGAGGCTTTAAAATCCTTTTGTCGGTAGTAGTGCATGCCGAGTTCATAATATGCTTCAGCGGCTTCGTCGCTTTCCGGTGCAGTGGCAATGAGTGCTTCATGGGCTTTGATGCCTTCTGCGGGTTGACTCATCCGATCGATGAAAAGTTTGCCTATAGCGAGTTGTGCCTGAAGTGCTTCGGGTGTGCCGGGTTTGGCATCCACAATACTTTGATACGCCGCTATCGCACCGGGGTAGTCTTTCTGTGCAACGAGGTTTTCTCCAGTGCGCAGCGCGCTACTACCGGGTACGCAACTAATTTGCACCAATGCTACCAAAATAATAGCGACGAGCGGGCAATACTTCATACTTTTAACAGCAAGTTTTTGCCAGCGATCATACGTCTTGGTTGCGAGTTGTGCTGAAAATTTCACGGTCTTTCTCCTTTTTTATGACTCGGTCCGAAGACACCTCTGCGAATAAACATCGGCGCTTTAATAGCATGATTTGGATGCACAATCATCAATCAATTCTAATACCTCTTGCCGAGTGTAGCCCTCTTTCTGGATGAGGTTGTCGCAATTCACTCTGTTTTTCGCGTCGGGACCCTTACCGGCTTCGAGGATTGAATTCGTCAACCAACTGGTGCGTATCCCGTTGATGCCAGAGGTATAGTTCGTCTGGTACTCACCTTTCACCAAACCGACGAGCTGGTCGACTTTGCTGCGGGGGTATCCTTCCGGACGCGGATAAGCAAGTGGCTCTGACTCGCCACCTTTGGGAGTGTAACGAATACCGTTTTTGATTTCGATCGTTCCTTCATCCCCTTCCAGAATTACCCATTCTTCAAACCCGACGCGCGTGTTGCCGAGGATAGTGATTGTGCCATCGGCACCGTTATCCAGTGTTACATCGGAGTAGGAATTAATTTCAACGAACTTTGGAACGAGGTTTCCATCGTCGTCCTCAAATTTCATGTCAGTCGTTCCGTAGACCTCAGCGGGCAAGGCACCCGTCATCCATAAGAATATATCTTGAAGGTGGCTTCCTGAGTCGTTGGGCTGTCCACCGCCGGAGAAGCGTGGATTTCCTCGCCATCCACCCGCACCCCAGCGCTGTGCCATATAGACTTCAAATTTCTGGAGGTTTCCGATGCGTCCTTCAGCGATTGCGCGCCTGGCTGCCATGTAGGTATCCTCGTAATGTCGTTGATACCCACCGACAAGGTGTAATCCACTGCCCATTGCAATTTTGGTTACAGCGATTGCATCGCCAACGACATTCGCCATCGGTTTTTCGACGATAACGTGACATCCGGCGCGGAGCGCGTATTTCACATGAATATCGTGCAGGGAGTGGGGCGAGAATACACCAACTATATCCAGATCTTCGTGATTGAGCATCTCCACGAACTCGTATTCACCGAGGTAGCGGTTGAAACTATTTGCTTTATAGCCGTCTACCTGTTCTTGGAGCGCGCTTTCTAAAGCGTCCAAACTCGCTTCGTGGGTGTCCACAGCGGCGACGACTTCAGCGTCGGGACGTGTTGCGAAACCGAGTGTGTTCCCTCGTCCTGCACCGCCGGGTCCAATCACACCAACTCTTAAAATATCATTTTTGCTTGTCATGATTTTAGCATCTCCGAATTATATATGCAAGAGAAATATTCGTGGTTGTTACGCCAATTTGAGAACGGTGATTGGTATTCACCGCGGTTTAGACACGCAAGTGAGACTGTTAACGACTAAAGACGCGGAACAATTTTTTAATCGGATCGTAAAATTGGTCAACGACGCGTTCTTTGAGCGGGATAATGGCGTTGTCCGTAATCGTGATATGTTCCGGGCAGACCTTCGTACAACATTTGGTAATGTTACAATACCCGATACCACCCGAATCCTTCAATTCTTCCAACCGGTTTTCAGTGTCAATCGGGTGCATTTCCAAGGAAGCGGCGTAAACGAAGAATCTCGGTCCGATGAATTCGTCATGAAGGTCGTGTTCCCGAAGGACATGACAGACATCTTGGCAGAGGAAGCATTCAATGCACTTCCGAAACTCTTGGATATGGTCAATGTCTTCCTGTTTCATCCGCCATGTACCATCTTCGGCATCAGGGGGTCGTGGCGTGAAGGGCTTCATCTTCTCTTTAACTCTGAAGTTCCATGATACGTCTGTAACGAGGTCTTTGATGATCGGGAATGCACGCATCGGTTCGACCGTAACGGGTTCATCAAGGGGTAGATCGTTGAGGCGCGTCATGCACATCAATTTCGGTTGCCCGTTGATTTCGGCAGAGCAGGATCCACATTTTCCCGCCTTACAATTCCATCGAACAGCCATGTCGTTTGCCTGATCGGCTTGGATACGGTGGACAGCGTCTAAAACCACCATACCTTCAGAAACCTCGGTGTCGTAATTGACAAATTCCGCTCCATCCGCATTACCACGCCAGATTCTAAACGTTGCTTTCGCCATTTTTTAATTTTCCTTGCGGTTTTTTTAATTTTCCTTGCGGTTCGGTCAAGTCGGTTTGATATATAAAGCACCTCTCCGTAGACCCGCCCTCCACTACGTTACGGGCTACGGCTTTTAATTTTACTCAAGACAGCAGCCTGCAACAACGGCGCAGGCGGATATGAGCAGAATCCTTTGATAAACAAAACACCTGATTTAACGCCTTGCGAAAAATTAAAATGCTATCCCACTTCGTCTATGATTTCCTGTAGATCATCCCGGAGTTCATCAACCGGTTGTCGGCGAATCTCCATTGTGCCATCGGGTGTCTTCTTGACGATAGTGTTATATTTGCCTGCACCGGGCTCCTCTTTCTCAGGATAATCGTCCCGTGAATGCGCACCGATGCTTGCCCTGCGTTCAAGTGCTGCGAGTGCGATCACTTCGGAGACCGTGAGCAAGCAGTCGAGATCGAGCGCGGTATGCCATCCGGAGTTATATTCTCGATTACCGATAGCGTGAACACTTTCCGACTGCTGGCGCAGATTCTGAATCTCTTCCAAGGCTTGCGTGAGACTTCCCTGACTTCGAGCGATACCCACCAGTTCCTGCATCTTCTCCTGGAGTTGTGCTTGAATGGCGTAGGGTCCCATTTTCTCCGCATTGCCATCGTCTGCCGGGTTCTCAAATGGTTTTAGGGTGTGCACAGCGATTGCATCAATTTGCGATTCATCAAATGGAACTGCCTCGTTCTCTTCTGCAAACTTTGCTGCGTATTCTCCGGCGCGTTTACCGAAAACGAGCAGATCGGATAGCGAATTACCACCAAGTCTATTGGCACCGTGTAATCCCGCCGCGCATTCACCTGCGGCGAAGAGCCCTGGAACTGCTGTCATTTGTGAATCAGCATCGACCCGAATACCGCCCATGATATAATGCGTTGTGGGACCTACTTCCATCGGCTCCTGTGTGATGTCGATGTCGGCGAGTTCCTTGAATTGATGGTACATGCTCGGCAGTTTTCTACGGATATGCTCTGGAGCGTTCGAAATTTTTTCCTTAATCCACGCTATATCCAAGAATACACCACCGTGTGGACTTCCCCGACCCTCTTGGACTTCTCGGACGATGCACCGTGCCACATGATCGCGTGTGAGAAGTTCAGGCGGACGGCGTGCATCTCGGTCGCCCTGCGTATATCGCCAACCCTCTTCAGGGTTATCTGCTGTCTGGTTCACATAGAGTTCCGGGATGTCATCGAACATGAAGCGGTTGCCTTCACCGTTTTTGAGGACGCCGCCTTCGCCACGCACTCCCTCTGTGACCAAGATGCCTCGGACACTGGGGGGCCACACCATGCCAGTGGGATGGAATTGAACGAACTCCATATCTATGAGTTCTGCCCCGGCATGGTATGCGAGAGAATGTCCATCGCCGGTGTATTCCCAACTATTGCTTGTGATCTCATATGCCTTTCCGACACCGCCTGTTGCCAAAACGACCGCTTTCGCGGTAAAGACCTTGAACCGTCCTTTTTCACGTTCGTAACCGAATGCCCCTGAGACTCTCTCGCCCGTTTTGAGGAGCGAAACGACGGTATTCTCCATGTGCACCTCAATGCCTTGGTGAATACCGTGGTCCTGTAGCGCGCGGATCATTTCCAATCCGGTTCGGTCGCCGACGTGTGCAAGACGTGGATATTGGTGTCCACCGAAGTTCCGCTGAAGGATGCCTCCATCCTGTGTTCGGTCAAAAAGGGCACCCCAGCCCTTCAAGTTCACGCACGCGGTCAGGGGATTCCTGCGCATGGAGTTCCGCCATCCGTGCATTAGAGAGGTACTGTCCACCGCGCATGGTGTCAGCAAAGTGTACACGCCAGCTGTCCCTTTCATCAACATTCGCCAAAGCGGCAGCGACTCCACCTTCTGCCATGACGGTGTGTGCTTTACCGAGCAAGGATTTGCAGATGAGCCCTACTTTTGAGGTCGCCTACGGCGGCTTCAATAGCGGCACGAAGTCCAGCACCACCGGCTCCGATTATCAATACATCGTATTCATGCGTTTCGTAAGATGCCACGCTAATATTTCCTCTTTCTTCTCTACAATAGATGTTTTTTAAAATGTAATCCAGTCTTTAAAACCTGTTGTGGCGGCGATACGGACATAGAGATCGGAAAAACCGACCCAACAGAGGCTCATCCACGCCCAAAGCATGTGCCGACTGTTCAAGCAACTGACACAGTTGTACGCTCCCCGACGGACAGGGGCTTTGGAGAGCAGATCGACAACCCCACCGACTAAGTGGCGTAAAGAGTGGCATCCGAAGGTATAACCGCCTAAAAGCACAACATTGCCTGCCAAGATGATGGTGCCTACGCCGATGCCGAAGGTTGTCCCGCCGTTACCATCGTCGAACCATAGTGCTTTCCATACATCAATAGAGAGAATAATCCAAACAATGAAGGCAACGTAGAGAAAATACCTGTGAATATTCTGAATAAGCAAGGGGAAGGAGTGTTCACCGCGATACCCCTTACGTGGCTCCGACACTGTACAGGACGGGTGGATCTGCCCAAAACGCTTTGTAATACGCCCCACGGTAGTAGTAGCATGTAAAGCGAAATCCGAGCGGTGCCCATAAAATGAGGACAGCCGGCGTAATGAAACCCGGTATCCAATCTGGCATCATACCAAACCAACTGTGATCGAGGCTATGCGCCGCCTTTTCAGTACCAAAAAGCAACGGTGAATAGAAAGGCGACAGGTAGGGTCCGTGAATGAAATGGTTCCCTTCAAAAACCCGAAAGGTGGCATAAACAATGAATGCTCCCAACCCGACAAATACAGCTAAGGGTTGTAACCACCAGGTATCTCGGCGCTGGGTGTGGAACGGGCGACGTTCCGTTAAGGTGAGTTCAGGGTGTGTCATAGGCGATTTTCCTTAGTGCGAACAGTTTAGTCTTTTTTGCCAGATTCGGTTCGGGGCGGCGGTGGGGGTAAATATTTCCAACCGAGGGCTTTGTTTTTTTTCGTTTCTGCCACTAAATAATCATTAAGTTCCTGGGCAGATTTGAATTTAGCGGCGAACGCTTCTTTCATCCGGTAGCACTCTTCTAAGACAGGATCCATGCGTGTATCGGGTTTCTCTTTCACTTGAATCTCCTCAATTAATGCTGTAGGTGTACAGAGGATTGTGGGTTGAAATCCAGCGGAGTGACAGATCTCATTTATCTGTTGTCGCTTGGTTTCATTCACAATATGCTTGTAGTTCCAAGAGACTAAGTATTCAACGTTATTCACCGCGGCGATGGCGATATGCTGTGCATCCGGGCGCGAATGCTGCGGCACGGCACCAGCATCTATCAATTTGTCCACGAGCATAATGGCTTCTGACGACATATCTAATACCGGCAAATTTGCCAATACCTCAAGCCGACGTTGGGCTGCTATGACATTGCCCTCTCTTGCTTCACTGAGAACTATGTTTGAAATAATAAACTCGAAGTTGTCGGGATGATTCCCCCACAACTGTTGTGTTGCTTGTTGTCGAGAGGCGACCGCCACATCGTAGCTAGGCCGAGCGACCAAGTAACTAACGACTGTTGTTTCGACGTAGACTTTCGGTTTGAGCGTATTATATTGTATCATGCAATAAGATTTTTGTCAAATTTCGGAGCCATTCAGCCAGTATTAACGCAGTCTCCACAGAAGTACTGTGCCGTCGCCACTCCCACTCGCCAGTGTTCGCCCATCCGGGCTGAACGCGACACGCGTAATCCAGTTGACACCTTTTGCGAATGTTTTTTTCTGCTCTCCAGTGTGTGTGTCCCAGAGGCGGATAGTACCATCACTGCTGCCAGTTGCGATAGTCTGTCCATCTGAACTGAACACTACATCGAATATCCCATTCGTATGCCCAGTGAGTGTTGCCTGATGCTCGCCGATAATGGTATCCCAGAGTTGGAGAACCTGACCGCTGCCAACTGCAAAAGTACGTCCATCTGGACTCAGCGACACACAAGAAATCCCATCCACATTTCCTGCAAAGAGGAGAGCCTCTTGAAGCGTAACTGCATCGTAGATCCAAATGCCGATAGTACTCGCTACCGCCAAAAACCTGTTGTCAGGCGAATACTGTATCTTACGGATTCCACCCTTACCAAGTCGCGCGATGGCACCCTCCGGTAGTTCCCACTGCGTATAATCTTGGGCGAAAGTGTTAGATAGAAGTACGATTGAAAAAAGAATAAGTGTCAAAAAAGTGGAGAGTAATCTCGTTTTCATCGTGCAGGCTCTCCTTATTTATAGAGTTTTTCACACACGTGTGTGCGTCAGGGGTTCCCAACCGAGCAGTCGCTTCGCTTTTGAGAGATTAATTTCCTTCTGTTCATGATCCCCCGAAATAAAGAAAGCGTCAAACCCCTCGTGTTCAACCGAAATAGCCGCGAGATACGCGCTCGCCAGATCTTCTTCATCCGTCCACCAGATATGCACTGACGACTCTTTCGGTTGGGCGTAACGTTCAAGCCACTGTTCGCGTGTAGAGGGACCCGTGATTCGCAAAGCAATAAGCGACATGCCGTGTTCTCGCGCAAAGTATTCGCAAACCTGTTCGCCGAAGCCCTTGGTTAATCCGTAGACACCGGGATTATCGCGCGGCACGACATCTTCATACGGAAAATTGTTGCGTGTCCGCTCATGCACAGTGAACGTGCTTGTATAAACGGCGTGTTGAATGCCTGCCTCTTTCGCGGCGTGTAGGACGACATGCAGTCCTTTAGCGTTCACCTCGTAGTTTGCGACAATGTCACTGAAATCCGCGACAGAGGACCGGTCACTCGTCGGTTGTAGCATGACCATGTAGACGAACGTATCCATCCCTTTCAACGCTTCTTGAACGATAGCGGGGTCGGTAACGGATCCTTGAATGTAATCAATAGATGTGTCTTTGGGTGGGCTGAGGTCAAGGACTCGAAAATTGTGATGGCTCTTCATGTAAGGGAGGGTCATCGTTCCGACGTGTCCCGAACCCCCTATAAGTAAAACATTCATTTTTAATTATACCTTGCGGAGAAACAACGTGAATTTGATCTTCCAAGCGTCTTTCTCTGGAGTCGCCCTCCACTACGTTACGGGCTTGCTGTTGTTTCCTACGCGAAACAGGTCTATAAAATTGTCCTGCAAACCCGAATGGGATCGCGACGGGCGAAAAGCTGACTATTAAAAAACTCTCAACAACACTGATAGGATTCCATGCTACTCTTGATATGCGTAAGCACCATGCTGAATCCGCAGATCGAAGTCGTCCCCTGGATCCCATGTCGGCATATCTGATGGGACTTTGTAATCAAACTGCTCAGTATCCGACGGATAAGAATTCGTTCGGCGTTCGTAGAGGGCGCGCTGATAGAGTTGGCAGCGTTGTGTCAAGAACTCCGTTTGCCACCATTTGTACAGCGTATTCCAGTGCGGTGTCCGCTGATCGAAGTAAATAACCCGACGCAGCGTCCCGCTTGTGTTGATTTTACTGCCGTGCAAGACTTTGGTATGGTGGAGTAGAATGTCCCCCGGTTCAACCTCTGCTGGCACTGCGTCTTCACGTTCAAAATTGGCTTCACCCCTGTCAATAACCTCCTGTGCCTCTTCGATCCCCCAGAGATGGCTCTTCGGGACTACCCAGACGCACCCGTTATCAACGGTGGAGTCATCTATGTATATATCGATGTTAAAAATCGGATGATTCTCACGGATGGCATTTCCGTCCCTATGCCACCGCACAGAAGAACCGTGTTTGGGCAGTTTGAAAACAAGAGATTCATAGCACGGAATAAAATCGGGTCCGATTATCCGATGGAGCAGATCCCCGATGGACGGGTGTCCTAAGAGTCGCAGGGAGAATTCGTTCGGATGGGAGTGTAGATAAGTCAAATAGTAAGGAATCCCTTCCGGTCCACGGTTGCACCATGGGTCTGCCGGTCCACCCGCCAAAATCTCATCAATCAGTCGTTGACTTTCACGTTGTATAACGGCAAAGTTCATCCGGTTGGATTACACCTTTCAGGATGAGATAGCCGTTATCGTTGAAGAATTGAATTTCGTTATCAGTAATTTTTCGCATTTTTAATTGTTCCTTGCGGATAAGTGTCGGTTGCTTGGATATTGATGTTCTTCGTGTTAGAGTCGCCTGCGCCGTTGTTGCAGGCTTGGGTTTTGTTAAAACCGACGGTTTCCTAACAGGAGGCCATGCTACAAGACATTTCATGCCTAACCGAAAACCCGCTCGTAATGAAATTATGCCTTAAATGGCATAATTTGTCTTTGCTTTACATTTGAAGAGCGGTCCAGAGGCCAATAAATTAAAAATCAGCAATCGCGGCGTGCCACGCCGAAACGAACTCTTGGACAGATTGATGTCTCAACTGTTTGTCTGGATTTGTTGCTTTTTTCGCGACGTGCCATAGGGCATCGTTCCCTTTCCAGTCGTCCCGTGAATCGCTGTTGTTGGCGAGCAACACGAACGCTGTACGTCCTAACATAAAGACGTTTGTCCTTTCGTCGATGTGCGCGCCTTTCTGAAATTCTTCCGGTGCCATGAATCGACGTGAGCCATACAACCGCCCGCGGTCGTTTATGAACGGTCCCGGGTGGTAGTGATCGAAATCGTACAGATGTATCCGCTTTTTCTCAAAGTCATAAATAAGGCAGCCATCGTAAAAGTCTTCAGCGATGAACCCTCTTTTTTCGATAAGGATATGGACATCAAAGATGACGTTGAGTGCATCAATTATTTCAGATGCGGGCAACGCACAAAACCTGTCACGCGGGTGGACTTCATTGGGACCCAGTTCCCTCTCAGGACGCAACCCCTCACCATCTACCCAATTGTAGACCAGTGCAA